GAGTGGGACTTTGCAATGTAGCAAATTGCAAAAGACTCTGAAAAAATCAACCTTCTACGATAATTACATCACGCGCAAGAGCAGTCTAAAGTTGAGAAGAATTCTTTGGAAGATTATTATAACGGAAGTAGACAGACCTCACAAATGAAAGTATCAGAAGATAGCCAAGGTCAATGACATTTAACATTGAAAGGGAGAGGGTCAACAAAGGTCAAGGTTACGAGATACAAGTCATCAAAATTTTTAAATATATACGGCTATAAAACCGGAAGTTGAGATAGGACAGCAAATATAAAAGTATAAATAGACAACCAATTTGAATGACCTTTGATCCTACAAAAATCAGGGTCAAAAAAGGTCAAGGTCAAAAATTGAAAATTTTGAATTTTCAAAACCTGTTCCTTTTTTTGAACTATAAAGCTGAAACAATCGAACTTCTAAGACAACGTGGCTCAACGGATGAAGTAATTGTATGCAAAGTTCCATTTTGAACAAATGTATACGTTGCGAGTTAAGTCCCTTGTCAAAATTGTCAATAATGAGTAATTTAACCCGGATGTACTACGCCCACCTCAATTTCTTTTGCATAGGTTAATTGATATTCTGAATGTTATGTAGTATCCCAAATTTAAAGCTTCTACATCATACAGGTCAAAAGATATAGGTCAACAAGAGTCAATAAAGGTCAAAATAGAAAATTGAAAATATCGAAATTTCAAAACCCGTTCCTTTTTTGAAACTATAAAGCTGAAACAAGTGAGCTATTAACACAAACTGGCCAAAAGGATGAGGTAATTGTGTGCAAAGTCTCTTTTTGAACAAACGCATCCTATGCGAGTTATGCCCCAGCCCCAAAATGTAAACAATTAGTAATTCAACCCNGGATGTACCACGCCCACATAGGTTTTTTTGTCATAGGTGAATTCATATTCAAAGTGTCTAGTTGTATTCCAAATATCAAGGTTCTACATCTAACAGATCATAAGATATACATACACCAAGCTCAAAAAGACGCAAATATTGTAAAAAAAACCTCAAATTTGAAAAAATCACGAATTTCAATTTTGCTTTAAAAGAACGATTGTTATATATCTATGTAAAGGGCATGAGAAGCACATTAGGAAACCGAAAAAATTAACCCTCTAGGTTAAGTAGGTCACGTGCTAGAGCAGTCCAAAGTTGCGAATTTGGATTTTTACGGATAGCTATAAAACCGGAAGTACATGTCGGAGGTCAAAGGTCAAAGTATATAATGATAGCCAAGGTCAATGACCTTTGACCCTATGAAGGTCAAGGTCATCAAAGGTCAAGGTCACATGGTGTGATCGTTTAAAGCTTTAAAAAATTTCAACCGGAAGTTGCAAAAAAGCAAAAGCGAAATTCAAAATTCGGCTCCCAATGTTTTTTGCGCAATCGATTGCAAACTACATTCACATCAAATTTGAGCATATCAACTTTTACCCTGAGGCCCCATTTTGAGTTTTACAAAAGTGTGTTTTTTCAATATGGCGGCCAAAGTATCACTTCCGGTCTGAATTTTATTTTCTTCGTTTTTTTGTATTAGCATTTACTTACGATCAGCATAAATTTCGTTGACCTATTTCAATTAC